CTGTGGGATCGGAGGCCTGGCCCAGAATTTCCAGCAATACGGGGTCGGAGACGAAAAAGAAACGCGGAAACTTGAGACGCTTCTTCTCCAGATAACCAGACAGTGACTTCTGACAGAGTTCCAACTGTCCTAGCAGTCGCGGCAGGAGTTCAGCCAGAGCCCCATCACCGGCGCAACAGGAGACGACATTCGGGTTGTCTCTAGCCCGTTCCATCACCTTCACCCAGGTCTTGTCGACGGTCTGGAAGCGTTTGGCCTCGGCCGGCAGTTGTTTGGCAATGTCACCGCCGACAAAGACTGCTTCCAGGTAGACCCAGAGGTTCTGCACTCGCATCCACGTCTCCAGCACCTCGCTGGTAGTGCTAAGCTTTTGCACCCATTCGGAGATCGGTTTCTTGAACGGCACATTATATCTTTGTTATGCGTAGAAAAAAAGCAAGAGAAGGAGAGAATTAGGCTGAAGTCAGTTTTTGCTGACAAGCAAAGGGCCTCGTAAAAGCACGGGTATGCGGTTGAACGGACACAAGACCCAGTAGATTTTTGTTATGACCCGCGCCTGGTACTGCTAATTAAGTCGAACGCCGAACCAAAGAACCCGTGAGTGTGTGAGAGAGAGAAGACCGGTTGGCCAGAGAGAGGGAGTTTAGTGAGACAAGCAGGTTACAGCAAGCCAGAGCAAGCCATTCTGACACAAAGGCTGCATGTACTTAAGCGGGAATGCGAGGCACATAGCTGGGCCAGTGGGCCAATCAACTATGAGGAAAAATCGATAGTCACGGCGCGCTCTCGTGGCAGCGGTGTGATCTGCACTCGCGGCCTTTCTGTGAGATGAGTAATCATGGGAATGGGGGCATTCCCAGCAGTTTTAAACTCAGTTTTTGTCGAATATATAAGAGTTGAGTAGACAGCATTACCGTCAAAGACAAGGGAGGTTGGAATAACTATCTCTGGCTCATTAGCCTTCAGCAGCCGGTCATACCCAACCCCAGGCCAAGGGGGCTTCGGGCGACAGCCCCAGCCGAAGACGACAGATTCACCGGAAGTTACCGAGTCGGACAGGGGGCCGACTGCACGCGTAGAT